TATATATATATACTAATTAATATAACTAGTCTAGCTATTTCTTTTAAAAAAACATCTCCATCTTTAGTAGGTCTGAAAAAGGGAGGAATAAACACATTTTATTCATAACGAGCTAACCAGGTAGCTGCATTAAATTACTGCTAGCTGACTAGTTTAACATTTCTTTAACAGGTGTAATAGTTTGTTTATCACTGATGATTCAAACGGTTTCCTGGAGCTTTTGGAGCTTTTAGCACATGAAGAGGTCCAAGATGAGGAACTTGATGCTGCAGCAGGTTCCACAAGACAAGGTGAACTTTCAGTTTAACAAAAACAAAAAGACGGACGATTTTTTCRTTTTTGGTGTATAAATGTTAAATAGAATAACAATCCGTTTTTTGGTTTTCAATATCTAGTTTTAACATGAAAAACAAATGGCCAAAGTGTAGATGACCCTAACTGTGACTTCTCATTTGAGCCAAAGTGAAAAAGGAAGTGACGTCAAAGTGGAACTCTTTGTTTATTGAAACATTATTTTAACTCTGACTCTTCTTCATCTCTCTTTGACAGTGAATCAATAGAACCTAAAGAAACATCAGATTCTTCTTTACTGTCTGTGTTGTCAGTCATTGTAGCAATGCTCTGCTCCTATTCACACACTCCCCTTAGACATCACTTCCTGTTTCTTCACATGTGAATATCGCAACAATCTGAGCAGCTTTTTGTTGGTAACATGTTATCAATGTTATATTTCCCAAAATGCATTCACATTTATTATAAAAATTCAAAATATCAAAAATATTTCAGCTTTTTTTCTTTTTTTAAACCAGGAAACAGTTATATTTCTATGTTTGAAGCGATGTCTGATTAGAAGGACAAATAAACGTCTTGTTCGATTAATTTAGAAGCTTATAAATGATATTGGAGGACATCACAATAAATCAATAAATACTTCTGTTTGATCCATTGGAGTGATTTATTGGACATGTGTCTTCTTTTTGTTTTCCAGTCTGTCAGGAATTCCCCAGTCTACCTCCTAGACCTGTTTATGACCGAGCATGCAGGTGAAACTGGACTATCCAGACTATAAGATGATTACTTTTTAATTGTCAAAACATAAAGCGTGAACACTCACAATCTCCCCTTCCTTCTCTCCAAAGTCGAGCAGCAGCCTGCGCACTCCGTCATCTGAGGACATCTTTAGTTTTTCAAAGGGGTAGGAGAGGAGCACTTGGGGCTTGCTGGAAGTGTTAACGACTCGTTCTTCACCGCCCTCCTCATCTGCTACTTTCGGGTCAGCCAGCACAGAGAAGCCCTTCTCGTAGTGGATCACCAGACGGCATTCCTGACCACGGAACAAGCAACCTGCAAGACAGAGATTAGTAATAAAAACAGGGTTTCTTGCATAAGCAAATCTCATTTTAAAGCATATCAGCCTTGTTTTAAAGAAGTAAAATGTATAACACTTCACAACTGAACTCAAGTGTCCCATATCTGTTTACTTAAATAACACGGTGAACGCCGCGGCCTCTCAGTAACACCCACTGCTCCTTTACTGGAGATCTCACAGAAAGAAGAGGGTGCAATTTCTCAAATTCACAACATTTCTCGTCACTTCTTTCCAGCTCTCGTTACAGCAGGTGTCTGCCTGAAAGCTGAGAGTGGCCTACTATCTGTAACAACTTCTCCAATTTAAGCGYAGCCTCTGTCAGCGTCGCCTCGTCCCCCACAGTGTAATCTAAGATAGTTTTATTTGTCAAGCAGTAGAGTTATTTGACATGGACTACCCTCACTTTCTTCAGCCGACATGTGGGCCACATGCTGACAACTTTATTCCCATCAGTAAGCTCCTACATCTCAGTGACTCGTATCTACGAAACTGTGTGYTTGTTGAGCAAAAGATGACAAGCAATAAAAATGCTAAGATACCACATGCATGTACAGCAGAGTGGATGTTTATATATGAACATGAAAGTGTTTACACATCATGTGTGTATTATCTGGTGCAACAGCTTGCTCCAGTTTGTTCAGTCCTGTGTTGTACTTTACCACACTGCATATAAACCTCATGAGCTGCTCTGTTCGTACGAATAGCTTTGGCTCTTAAAGTGATATTTCCATCTTTTTAAGTGGAGTTCTGAAAAATAAGTATTAAAGGGGACCTATTATGCAAAATTCACTTTTTAAAGTTTTTTTTTTACTCAACTTTGGGTATATACTTCTTAAAAAACAGTCCTAGGACCAAAAAAATGCACCCAAGGGCATATTTACTGTAAGTAAATGTATTTTTAATGTATATTAAAGACAAGTTTTATACTTCCGCCATTTTGTGAYGTCACAAGCCGTACGACAACCCACCGGAACCTGCGTTCAGCCCCTTACCTTGCAACCCCCGGGTGAGGCTCCACCTCCTCAGTATAAAAAGCYRTCACGGTTGTTGTTATATAATGTGTAGCTCATTTCATAACAAGCCTCCAACAGGGTAATGGGTAGAGTGTTGGACCAGAGTGTGGGAGACCAGGGTTTGAGACCGACACGGACACAATTTAATTATTTATTTTCATTCATTATGATCACGTTTTCTCATGTACCTCTATTGTTTAGCTTATTAAAGCCTTGTTAAAGCTTATTTGTTCGAGATTCTGAGGTATTTTGACCGCTGCTGCTCCCTGCTCTGGTAACAGCATGCAGAGTGAGCGCAGAGCAGAGGAGGAGKAGAAAAAAAAAGAAGCTGCGACCACGACTCTCATATGGTTGTACAACGGAGCTTCTGCTATTATTAGCCATGCTAAAGTAAACGCTGGCTTTGGAGGGCGGAGTTAATGTCAACAGATTTTTGGAGGGTGGAGTTAATGTCAACAGATTTTTGGAGGGCGGAGTTAATGTCAACAGATTTTTGGAGGGTGTTACCAACAGAGCTCATTAACATAAACAGCTCTTCTGAACGGAAGTCAGAGCAGGCAGAACTAGAAAATGGGAAATTTTATTATCTGAGAATTATTTTGTGCATTAAATTGAATGAACATGGTCTGGATAGCCCACAGACATACCATAAACATTTCTAGGACCCATAATTGGTCTCCTTTAACATAAAATAATTATCTTTATAAATGCATTTTGAACAACCTCAGTTTTAGGAAGTAACAAACTGTTAGCTAACAGCAAGGTAAACAACTGTCCTAAAAACTATCCATCAACCAATCATTTACCCATCTATCTATCTATCCATCCATCTATCAACCCATCATCTATCTATTCATCATCCATCAACCCATCATCCATCTTTCTAGCCAACCATCTATCCATCCATCCGCACTTTTCCATTCAGGGTCAGGGAGCTGGTGCCCATCACCAGCAGTCAGTGGGTGAGAGGCAGGGGACACTCTGGACAGGTCACAAGTTCATCACCGGGCCACGTTTCATGTTCATTTCTTTTCTGTGTTTTGTTTCTTGTTCCTCTTTAGTGTTTCTTCATTCCCCGTGATTTTCTAGTGTTTCTTAGTTTTCCCAGAGTGCGCACCTGATCCCAAAGTCAGGTGTTTTCCACTGTCAGCTCGTTAGTGTCTCTGTATAGTCTGCCTTGTCTCTACTTCCCTGTCAGGCCATCTCTGGTTTGCCTTCCCTTGTGCTTCTCCTGTTTTCTCCTGGTTATTCTAGTAAGTGTCCTTTTTCTGCTGCTACATCAGCATCTTTATTTTGTAAATAAATCGCTTTTCTGTTTTACTATCTTTAAAACTTTTTTTGCCTGCTCACTGGGCCCTCTCCTGCGCATAAACTCAAGCTTTTACACAGATAGCTGTGCTTATTTGCACATGCAAATTGTAGGTAACTGTAGCACTTTCAGCGCACCAAGGGGCGCTTTTTGATAAAACATTATAATGTTTCAGATGGAATAACTACACAACACAAAACTGACAACCGTTGAAAGGTTTATAAAGAAGTTTCCGCATTACTCTACAAATTTTAAAACACAGACAATCCACTTCAGTCTTGTGTGTGTTTGGACTTCTCATTATATTTGTTCATTATTAATATAATAATATTTCTCCTTTTAATTTAAAGGCTGCTGCAAGTGTATGAACTATAATCCCCAAATGAAACACTACTGTAATTAAATCGGTTTCTGCTTTTGTTCCTGTCTAATTCACATGACATAATTGTCATTGAAATATTTTTAATCAACAGGAAATTAAAGTTTGAGTATGTCCATGCTGTTATTCACAATTAAGATTGATCGTTGAGTCGTCCAGTAAAACCATCGATCCAATCAGCACATTAACGTAAGAAAGACAACACAATATGAAACGGCCACAACAAAATCAAAGGTAAAACTGCAGCTGTAAAAAAATCACTGCTGCTTCATGCTAAATTATGTTAAGTCTTTGTTAGTTAAAAACAGTGAGAACATGTTGGGGCCTGTATCTTTCAGTTATTTTCTTTCTTTCTCTTTTGTGTTTATTTTCTGCGATTTTCTTAAGCTCTATTATTTGTTTTCATTTATTAAGTCATGTATTCCTCTGTGCCAACAGCTACTTCTACCTCAGTCAGTATTTTTCCAGACAGGCTAACACGCCCATAACCTGCTCACTTGTTTCACCAGTCACAGCTGCAGCCACTCTACGCATCAGCTCCGGCTCTTTTAGTCCCTCAGCTCACCTCACACACCAGCTGAGCACAACCTGCCTGAAACTGTGACAAGAGCTTGAATTGCCAAAAATTTTAGTCGGTGCCAAATGTTTTTGCTCAACTGCTCCAACTGAGCTTCTCAATCATACATCACAATATTTATGAAAGTGTACATTGTCACAAAATCTGGTACTGCAGTGTTGCTTTCCTGCTGCATATGCAATTCATTGGTATTTCTAATTAAACAAATATAAAAGTATACATAGATTTGGGTTTTTGTTTTGTTTGTTTTTGTTTTTTGGATTCTTGCATAATTTTCTAAAACTGAAATCAGAACCTGAGGCATACACAACTAAATATAGAGACATCCCAAACCGAGATGTAAAAGAAGTCTCATAATGAGTATATTCTAATGAACTGCGTGGCCAGACAAATGTGCCCATAATGAGATAAATGGAGCTGTAAAGAGAGGAAAGAGTGCAGGTCTTTGCTGCAGTTAGGAGGGAAAATTAGACCTGAAACTTTACTCTTCTACCTGGGAACTCTGTTCTGTGGAGAACCCTGCTTTCCCACTAGAATATCCTCTAACAGCACAGAAAAGGGCTTTTCAGGCTGCAACAAAACCCCTTTATGCCCGATTCTGAGTGGAAGAAACACAAGGATGAAAGGATCAGAGACTGATAACATGGAGTGACTGAATAAATCAGGGAAGGACAAGGTCAGGCAGAAAAGAGGGCTATGACAAAAAAAGTTTAAACACTAAAAGCTTGTGTCACCGTTGTGAGACAAAAATGATATCAAAGGCTGTTTTTCATCAAATCTCGGGTCATTAGCAAAAAAGGTATTTTAATAATTGCACCCCGCTCACAACTTCAAGAGTCACAGCAGATTAATAGATTAATTTTCCACCTCTGCTGAGGCAATTGGCTTTTTAAATTGCTGCAAGTTATGAAACGGTTTACCTGTTCGACACTCAATCAACTTCAAATGCAGCATAAAAAATTACAGCTGTCACTCACTCTGATAACAGTAACATGAAGACCAAAGAAAATGACTAATAAGAAGCTCAGAAAATAAAAAAGGTCCAATCACTGCTAATATTTCATAAACTTCTATACCAATAAAACATTTTTGTTAGGTTTTTGTATGACGAAATGTTCTTGATATATAAACGACTCTTATTTTTGTGACATTCCCTAAGACATCGGTACATTTCAGGAGATGTTACATGTTTAAAACTGTGGTTTCCAACCCTGGTTCTCGAAGCCCACTATCCTGCATCAGGGCTATATAGGCAGTGTAGGCAAACACTAAGGGTCCCATCCATCTAGTGGGTGCCACAAATGAAGGAAGAAAACAATATTTCATAACTTTATCTGATGATTAACGGTTGATTAAGTTTGTGCAAAATGTTTTTGCTCAACTACTCCTAAACTATTTCAACTGAGCTTCCCAGTCATACATCACTAGTTAAATACATGATATTTATGAAAGTGTAAACTCAGGTTTACGAAGGTAACTTGTTCTGTGGGTTTCTCAGCTGCTTTGTTACTACATGAGGTGTTCTATGGTGCAGAGGATATTTCATGATAAAAGTATCATATGATGCAGTCAAAACTAATGTTGGTGCTCAGTGTGTAAATACACTGCCTGGCCAAAACAAAAGTTGCCACCAAAAGAAAAGGTCACACTCTAATATTTTGTTGGACCACCTTTAGCTTTGATTACGGCACACATTC